TAATAATAATAATAATAATAATAATAATAATAATAATAATAATAATATAGGGATTTTAGTTATTTAGCTGTTAAATATTATTATCAAGGAATTGAAACCTTTACGAATATTATCTATTATATTTTATTACACAGTCACTTTTTCAAAACATTTAGATTAATTTTATGTTATTTTCTATTTATTCAAAGAAACTATTTACTTAGTTCTACGGTTAGTCGGCGTTAACTTTGTTAATAACAATTTATACGATACAATTAATATAATATTTATGTTATTAATTATTATAATCAGTGATTGTGCCATAAATAAATTCATCTAGAAAAAACAATCTTATGTTATATTTTATTTAAATAAATTACACGATTGGTATCTAACTGCCATCTAAGATAGAAAATTTAGTCATTTAAATTAATTAATCCGGATTGTTCACGAAACGTAGTTTTTGAAAAATATACAAACATTATATTTTCGGATATTACTTAAAAAATTGTTTATGAAAATTATGACGTCAACATTTTACGAGCAGATATAATAATTAATAATAATAACAATTATGATAAGTTATTATTATATTATAGTGCATACCTACTGACTACTGTAAATTGTAATAATATTTTCTAAATAATTTGTGTTATATATAATAAACGTATAGTTCTATAGTTTTTATATTTCTAGAATAAACAGTAAATACAATTAAATCGATTGTCGACAGACCGAGATCGTGATATTATAATATAATACAATATATTGTTTCATGTAATCGCGTATATATTTAGGTACCTAATTATTATTGTCGCTAACGTACACCACTTCTAAAAAATTAATAATTATATCGTTTATCATCGACAGACGACAATAGATAAGCTTTATATAATAAGATAAATACACAGACTTCTTTACTATAGATAAGGCACTTGTAGAATTTTACACTGTGAAAGACTTCTAATAGTGAAGCAAAAATACAGTGTTCTTATGATACATCTCATACGACTGCCATACTGTTTAAGTCCTATAAACTTTATAAAAGGCGAAAGAAAATGTTGTTGAGTATAATAATTTTCTACCATCACTAATGATCAGTACTGTTAATTTAATACGTTTGCATGTTTTTTAAAATTTTTTTAGTGTATATTTTGCCTGTTTTTAGTGCCAAAATGCATGAATACATTTAACACTTTTTTAGTGTATTAAATGCATAGCCCTGCTAATGACCAATTCAAAAATTTGGAGGTATGTACGCAGGTTATGTACACTATATACGATATGTCGACATGCGTGGTAAATTTCTTCGAAAAAAAGTTTCTACTGTTTACAAATTGTGTGCAATGAGTTGTATTTTTTGTGCGCAAACAAGTTGTAAAAAAAGTAAAAGTGCGCAAATGAGTAGTAGTCATTTAGACTGGACCTAAATTTTTTGCAAAATTTATTGTTTTTTCTTTAATGAAAATTAATATTACTATATTGTAATGTACCTATCTATATATATCATAAATAATAATTATCAAACCTAATTCTAATTAAATTTCATTATCTGTAAGCTAGGTTTCAGTAAATATATAAATATCATATTTTAATGTATAGAGAATTTGAGATTTTAAATATGAGAATTAGTACCTCAGTGAATAGTAAATCATATAATTAAAGTACAACAAAGTCACGATATTTGAAGCTTTAAAATCGTAATATAATTGTAGGATTTATAGATACATAAATATAATAAATATTTCACTTATTCTATTTTTGTATTATTTTTAAATTCAAATAAGTCTTGTTAAATTAGATCCATTAAACCAAAATTCCAGGCAATTATATTATGAAGCCATTTTAACGATATAATATAGTGCACAAAGTAAAAAGAAAAATTTAATTGGGGAATTAAACGGGTCTAATGCATTGACAATATTATTATCTTATGCATAATAACTAATAAGTAATAAGTGAGGTACTTTAAAGTTTAAATATTATATTGTTATCTTTATTTACTCTTCTAAGAAACATTGACCTTTAAATTAAAATCAAATTATGTTACTGTTATAAACGCAATAATAATATATTTAGTGTATTTAGATAATAAAATTGTATATATATGTAACATGTTCGTTCATATTTTGTCTTAGTGAAATAATCTAGTTTACGTAGGTTTATAAATTTATTCTTAGTACAAAATTATTCATCAAACACATTTAAATATTTAATTCTTTAGTAAAATGTCAAATATTGGCAAACGGGGTTCCAGTGTTCGACAGAGACCCGCTGAATATGTTCAAAATTTTGAAGTTCTCCGAAATAAATGCTTAGAAGACAAAATACTATTCAGAGATCCAGAATTCCAAACATACGATTTAACTGAGTATTACGATTTGCAAAAAAATCGGTTTGAATGGCGAAGACCAAAAGTGAGTAAATATTTGAAATACGTTTTATTAAAAATGTATCATTTATTTTACTTAATCAAATTATAACAAAAATTTAATTATTAGGAAATTTCAAAAAATCCCGAATTTTTTGTTGAAGGAGTTTCAAGATTCGATGTAAAACAAGGAATTTTAGGTAAATAAAAAAAAAAGTTTATTATTTTTAACTTTTAAGGAGTATTGCTTTTGATATTTATTTATGAATGAAATATTTTTATTTCATATATTGTATAGGTAATTAAAAGTTTATCATAGGTAATTCTAAATATTATGCACATAACTAATGTAAACATTTTTTTTTCTACGGAAGGCGACTGTTGGCTATTAGCTTCCATAGCAAATTTGACTTTGAACAATAAACTTTTTTATAAAGTCGTTCCATATGAACAAGGATTCTATATTAAATACGCTGGTATATTTCACTTTAGGTAAACATATATTTTAACTGTATACCTAATAAATAAATGTGTAAATCGTACTTTAAAACTTTGGTGATTTTAGATTTTGGCAGTATGGTAGATGGGTTGACGTGGTTATCGACGATCGTTTACCGACCTACGATGGAAAGTTATTATTTCTTCATTCAGCAAACGAAAATGAATTCTGGAGTGCTCTATTGGAAAAAGCTTATGCCAAGTAATTAATTAGAATGGTTAATTTAAAATTATTAAAACTATCTGATCACATTAAAGCCATAGTATACATATAACGGTTTTAAACTTTTGAGCCAAAATTAGGTAAATTTAGAATGTAAAAAAAATAGTCGAATAAATTAGTAAAAGCTTAAAATTATTTTAATATGTTGACAATTTCATTATGTAATGTGAATAGTAAAATATAATAATATACGTAAAAGTTTAAAGTTCCGACAAATATTATTTTTGAATTATAACAAAATAACTTAAATCGTTGTTCTACGTTTAAATATCTAATTTTGTCAAAATTTAAGATTTAAATGTCTATTAAATGTAATTTTGCTTGTATGTTTTTAGAACTTTGGGTTTCAGTAATAACTATTTACCCACATAAACGGCATAAATAAAAACCCTGTGTTCATATTTCAAACGTTAGCTATATCTATATTGTATAAATAATAAACATAATATTTTTGGAATTAAACTCAAATTTTTTTTATAATTCTTGTAAGTAAATTTATAAAAATCTTGTATTAAAATTTCAAATCTTTGCTATGAAAATTAAAAATGTTATAAATTTTGACCAAAAAAATTAATTCTTTACGATTTTATTAAGCTTTTAATTTCAGACGTTTATAAAAATAAAACATATCTATGTATTTTTAATATTTTTAAATTGATATAAGAACAGTTAATATTGGATCTTTCAAATTTTTGAATTTAACTTCAATTTTATTATAATTAATAAAAACAAAAAAACCTAAAAAATAAATACTAAAATATAACTTAAAATTAGTCTAAGTGTTTTGAAAATCCTTCTCAGTATTTTTAAACATAATAATTTAAATAATAGTAGAATATTTCATGTTTCGACAAACAATATTTTTGAATAATAATAAAATGACATATTTATTCTTAATATATTAACTTTTAGTTTTTTGATTTCCAGTACATACATTTATAAAGAATATTGTACCACATTTTATGAATTTTAATCTAAAATATACTTTACAAATGTCTGTAATTTTGAATAAATTCATAATTTGAATTTTATATAAAAATAATAATTGTGTTTTTTAAAATTTTTTATTTGCTGTAGAAAATTTTTCGAGAAACATTAAGGTAAATTTTAAAGTTTATTTTTATCACAAATACAATCTTTGTTATGCATGAAATGAATTATTATATTTTAAGTCAAAAAGTATAATAATCTAAAAATAGCAAAAAAAGAGCCAACATTTTTTTTTAATGTTAATATTAAATAAAAATTCAAAGCTCTAAAATTATTTATTTAAATTAATTTGAAAAGTACTGAGAATTTTTTACTTATGATCTTTAATTTGTTACCAGATGCTAGTTGATCAATTTTTTTATTATTATTATTATTTTTTTTTTTTGTATATAACATATATCAAATAAATGTATTGCTTTGTTAAAGTTCATTACTCTATTAAAAAAAATTACACTAGAATCCACGGTTCATATGAAGCTTTGAACGGAGGTTTTACAATGGTGGCTATGGGAGATTTCACCGGAGGTGTATCAGAAATATATGAATTAAATGATGTACCACCTGATTTATTTACGATTATGCTAAATTCTATTCAACGACAATCGCTTATGAGTGGTTCAATAATCACATCGAAAATGGTTAGATATTCGATTTTATACAAAATAAAATTTTTTTATGATTTTTCTCATTTTAGATATAATTTTTAAACTTTTTAATATAATTTGTTATTAATATAGTTTGATTCAAAGAAAAGTGGATTATTTAACAACCATGCATATAGTATTACTAAGCTAAGTTGTTTTTCTATGAAAAATACTACTCGTATAATACGTTTGATTAGACTTCGAAATCCTTGGGGTAAATGTGAATGGAATGGCCCCTGGAGTGATAAGTAATTTTTTTATTTTAATATCTTGGTTTAAAGTTAATATAAAATAAAACATTAAGCCATGATATTTATGATGATTATTTATAAACATTAAACATGTTACTTTAATGAATTAATTAAAACATATTTTATAGATCAAATGAGTGGTTATCTATGCCTCAAAAAATAAAAGAATCATTGGGTTTGGTAATAGATGATGATGGGGAGTTTTGGATGTCATTCGATGATTTTATCAAATATTTCTCTATATTGGAAATTTGTAATTTGGCCCCTGACGACGATTTAGCAACGGAACAATATGGTACAGACTCTAAAAGAAAATGGGATTTGAGTATGTTTGAAGGTGAATGGGTCCGTGGTGCAACTGCAGGTGGATGTGATGTATTTCAAGGTATAATTTATTTTGGATAGTATAATTTCTAAATATTATAATTTTTAGCGATATACTAAATATTATGATAATATAGAAGTTTATTTAATTTTAAATATTTAGAATCATTTTCAAGTAATCCACAATATAATATTACATTAGAAGACCCTGATGATAATGACAATAAAAATATGTGTACAGTGCTTATTTCATTAATGAAAAAGAACGTGCATCGTAGTATGGATTCGTTATCAATTAGATTTTTTTTGTTTGATGTAAGTATTAAAGAACAAACATTTTTAAAATATGTTGTTTTAATATTTTTATAATAATACTGCTTATTTATACAATATTAGTTTTAATGATTTTTATTCTATTTTATCGTTTAGCTCAACAAATCAAAGTCTGTGCCGAAACCATTAGACACGAATTTTTTTCACAATAACACTGCTTTATATAAGTTCCATTCTTTTAAGTTCCGTCAAAGAGAAATTTGTAAGAGACTTAAGGTACCTCCTGGTAAATATTGTATTGTACCTTGTACATCTAACCAAAATGAACAAGGGGAGTTTTTGCTTAGAGTATTTTCAGAAAAAAAAAACAATTTGGAGTAAGTGATTGAAGAAACTCAAATATATTTTTAAAACTATAATTCGGTGTTTTAATAAAAATTAATTACGTTTTTATAGGGAGTTTGATAATGAAGTAGGAATGTGTCCAATTGATGATAAGGTAAAACAAAAGTAGGATTAAATTCAATTTGAAAAATGTAGTAATTTCGTACCAATTATACATTTTTCTTAGATCGAAAAATTGACTCTTAAGACAAAAAAAAGTGAAGATTTGAATGAAAAATTAAATAAATATTTTTTTAAAGTAGCTGGGAAGGACAAAGAGGTCGATTGGATGGATCTAAAACATATTTTGAATTTCGCTATGAAACAAGGTATTTGATAATTTTGAAACTATAAACAACATTTTATTTATTTTACAAAATTATCATTTGATACTGATTTATTGACTTTATTTTTAAATTCTTATAACCGAACTAATTATTAGGTACATACATAAGGAGATTCGGTACAGACCATTGCTTAAAAAAATTTAAATGTTAGTGTGTTACTACTACTAACTCGTATGAATCCCCGGGTAATTAGTGATTTTAGAATGATCTGTAATGTGACGGAAGTATAATGGAAATAGCGGTGCACATCTAGATATCATAAAATTATAGTCCATGAATTATATTTTTACTAAAAAGTATGTACTTTTAGTTCAATATGCTAATAAAACTACAAGCTAATGATGCGATAAGATATTTTAAAATAGATTTAAATTCGTTGTGAGGTTCATCTAACTGAGAGTAAAAATCCTAATTTTTTTTACTTGATCACTGATAATCATTGTTTAAAAATTAATCAAGTTTTGTATTTTAAAAATAAATTTAATATAAAATTTAAAAAAAGTAAGAGATTGATCTAAAGAAAATTTTATAACAAAATGTATTATATTTTAAGATTTTTACAGCATTAGTAGATTAATCAGATATGTTTTCGTTAAAACAGCTATTATATTGGATAATCTTGATAGGTAGTTAAAACAAAATACTTGCAATAACCATAAATTGTTATTATTTAATAATAAGTAGGTATTTAAATTAAATCGAAGTTCTGAATTCTTAAAATTTAACCTAACAAAATCAATAGATGTACAATTCATTTATAAATTGTTTCATTCGAATAATATAATATAAAACAAAGATAACTAACCATGCACCTATATTTATAAACTTAAGAGGAATTTAAAGATTTAGGTACCTAGGTAATTTAATCACAATACATAACTACATAATTATTAATTATAGATATTAGATATTTTATTATATTATTGAAATCAATTATTCAATATTTCAATCTAATTACTTATTTCTTCTATATTTATTATAGATTTCTTTTACATCAAGGAGTTAACTTAATAATTAAAACTTCATTAACTGTATAAATTATATAGCTGATATATTAAGCACGTTATTAACATAATATTTTAATATTTATAGAGCCCGGGAACATACGATTTTCAAATGATGTATGTCGTTGCTTGATTGCTATGATGGATTGGGATAAATCAGGCAAACTTGGTTTTAAAGAATTTCAAAGATTATGGTTGTACATTACACAATGGAAGGTAATTGGATTAACATAAATTAATAAAAAAAAAAATTGTATTTCACGTAATTCTAAAATGTATTTTAAATTGTTTTAGGTTGTTTTTAAAACGTACGATAATAAGAACAAGGGTTATATCAAAGGTTTTGAGTTAAGACCAGCATTAAATTTGGTTGGTTACTTTATTAAAACACGTACCATAAACACTATGTGTCATCGGTATTCGAACAAGAAAGGATACATAGAGTTTGATGACTTCATCATGTGTGCTATAAAACTTAAAACCACGATAGGTTAGTTCAAGTTTAACTTTTTAGATTCACAATCTTAAACATAAACTGTAATTTGTGTTATTAATATCTATTCCCCGTGTTTCGTGATCTAGGCAAATTTATATGACTACATTTTGGCGATTGCTTAATTTTTAATAGGTATACGCTCAGATATATCAATGAATATACTGTTTCTATACTAGATCATATTTTTAAATTTCTCAAAACGGTATAAAAGATGATTAATATTTTAATAACTGTGTATGTTTATAAATTTATAATACACCAATTAAAATTTAAAATTCAATTATAATATTTTTGTATTCATTAATATTATTGCTAAAATACAAATATTAAAAATCCCTTTGATTCCAACGTAGGTATTAAACTTGTTTATGGATCAAACCAATGTTCTATAATTTCATTAAGTGATTAGGTCTAAATACAATCAATTAATGTGATAATTTTAGTCTTTTAATTAGCTTAATCTATGTAACTATTTTACTAACAACTATGATGCATTCATTACGTATGTGCTTATTAAATTTGTATTACATTATAATTAGTTATACGCCAGATGCTATTAAGTCATTACACTTTAAAAGTTAATTTGAATGAAGTTTTTGATTGCATTTAATAAAATTATCTCATAGATTGGACTTAAAAACATAACGTTATCCTAAATGGTTTTAAATTCTACCTTTACATTTATTTTAGCTATTTACGTATTGACCTATATTAAATAAAACTAAACTCTACTGGCATTATTTTTATTTTTCAAACTATTTATTTTTTTAAATTTTAAATTAAAACTAAATTTAATTTTAATGATACAGATTTTAATTTTAAAATGAATTATATAATGAGTTGAATTGCATTGGCTATCAATTTTGATAGCTTTAGTGTTTGATTTTATTATTACCTATCGTGTAGATCAGCGCTTCTCAACCTTTGGTACGCTAATGGTACGCAGAAAGCTCAAAGCGGATACTTGAAGAAAAAATAAATATTTATCATAGTATAAATAAAATACTATTATATACATAAAATATTATTTGTTTATTTGATTAACTAAACCAAATGGTCCGTTTTACTCACATTAAAGATTGGAATTTAGATAAACGATAATCTTTATAATGTTATAATGCTTGGTCGATTTATATTTTAACAAATTGTACATACTTAATTTTACTTGTTCAATAAATGTTAATTTTCTATACATTTTTTATAGGCAAATAAAAAAATAGAGTTTTCTAAATTAAGTGGTATGTGAAAATTTTTGAGATGTGTAGGCGGTACTCGGACGTTAAAAGGTTGAGAATCGCTGGTGTAGATTATATTATGGTGTGATAGTAATACATTTAAAAAGTTGACGTTCTGTTTTGATAAAGATGATTAAATGTGATACTTAATTATTCCTACTAACCTAATTCATAATTGTTAAATTAAATTTAAATTTATTTATCTTGTACTGTTTACTTTTTTTCACCGAATTTGATTTTTAAATTTTTATTTTTAGACATATTCAAAGAACGTGATACTGATAATAAAAATGTGGTTTCATTTACATTGGAAGAATGGGTAGAAAAATCATTTTATTCGTAGATTTAAGTATAAATTAAGTTTCATTTTTATGAACTTAATCATTTTTTTTTTTTTAATACTGTTTACTATTATTGATGTTATAATTCATAAGTTTAATTGAGCGGTATAGTCGTAAAAATGTAGTTTATCAACAGTAATATTATACTTTATAATATTTATTATTTTTTAATTGTTTTAAATGTTGTGAATATAATATTTTAAATAATCTTATCGAATTAAAGCTTTTAAAAATATAAAAATTGTTTTTATAGAAACGGGTACTATCCGTCGTAAGTTGTATAAAAACGCTTAAATGACAAGAAGAATACACGTCTTGTTTAAACGGGTGGTAAACTCAAACTTGGTTATAGAAATATAGCAGTAGATAGGTACTACAACGTACGGTAATTAGATAATTTCAATGGTTTTACAGATTTATTCAATGCAAAATATATATTACACTGTGTACAAATATAACAGAAGTATTAAGTCATTATAAAATTAATATTAAAGACTATCTGATCTTTAATGAGTCTGTTTATTATTTATTAATAATAATTTATTAAGTACGGACATTTTTGATTTAATATCGATGTTAGTTTTATTATGAAAAAATGATGTTTTAATCCATTTTTCAGCGCTCGTAATAAAAAAGTTATTTTTATTTTAATTATTATTTTTTATTATTAATATATTATATAATTAAAAACTAATACTTAATAATGCATGTACCACGATCGCGACACTTGTGTGCTGCGAAACACCGGTTGAGAAATACTGATGTAGGCTATAGTGTACTAAAAATACGTGTAGACTAAAATTAAAATAGAAAAAAAGTGGGAAATATTAGTCAACATAATAAGATAGTACTATAAACGTTATAAGTACATACGTATATTATATAAATAATTTATTAGATAAAGTATATAGACAGATTTATATTAATGGAAATAAGCTAAGCTATATAGATCATTGATGTTAATCGAATTTACTATAGAACCTACAATCATTGACTTTGTCTACAGAGGGGCTCTATAAAAGGTTCCTTAAAAAGATCTGAATCAAAGATTCTCATACTAATGACTACTAGTATAATTAATAGGGAGCGGTCGTACCGGAACTTGATGCATTGCATTTGTATCTTTTTTCTAATGCTTTTATACGACGCTTGTCTTTACAAAAATGTGGCTTATATTATATAAAATTTAATGGGACCATTTTTATTTGGCATTTTTCGGTAATTTTTGATTATACGGTCATTAAAAGATTTTGATGCATTTTTGCTTTTTTGTAGATAAATTTGCATTTTTTACGTTTTTATTTTATATTTTTTTTGACAAAACTAAATATTTGGGAAACTTTTTATAAATCATTTTAATATTTTTTTTAGTGCATTTTTAAAGATTTTTAGATCATTAAGTTCCGGACCCTTATAATTAAATATTTAATTATTAATTTTATAAAGTATTTATTTAATTCAATAGCTATGCAAATATAAAAGTAAATACTATTTAAAGGTATAAATATATAATAATAATAACATTAGATAATTTAAAAAATAATAATAATAATTTGAAACAGCATAATATCTATAAAAAATCATATATCTTACACAATTTATATTTAAGAAATCTTTATTTACATAGCTATTTACAACTCCATCCACGGGTATAAGGTTTTTTTATGTATCAAATACATCATCAATTTTTATAGTATATACAAGTTCTTCTTTTCATTCATTACAAAAGTTTTTATTTACTAGTTAGGTATAATATTATTTGTAAGTTACAACCGTGAAATAACGTAAATATACAAGTAAAGTAGTTTATAGTTACACTGTGATAAAAAAAAATAAACCACTAGCTAATATCAGAGTGAAAAGTAGAGTATTTTGTGATAATAAATCATTTGGTCGATGATAACTGATTAATTAATAACGTTATTACATTTATTCACAGATATTTATACTATGAGATTAAAACTGGTTTCATTTTTTGCATGTAAAATGTAAAATTTTCGCTATCTAGTATAATTTAGATATTTATGTATGAATTAAAGAAAAAGTCAGAAGCCGCAGGGGGATCGCGGCCTATAAAGTAGGTATAGGTATTCATCAATAAGATAAAAACCAGGATAATTTCAAAAACTTTTGTCTATCTAATGTTTCATAGAGAAATAGGTATAATATCATAATTTTATTAAAGCTCATTAAACTAAAATTGTGTTGTAAGAAATTTTAAAAACAAGTAATTTTTAATAATGATAAAAATATATTTATCTATTTTTTTTTTTTAGTAAATCAACCCTAAGGTTGGTTTTGCAATTTTCCGAAATTTCTCCATTCATCTCTATTTTCAGCTAGCCTCTTCAGTTTCTTATAGTTTGCTAGACCTGCATCGGAAATCATCTTTTTGATATAAGACGTTCTTGGTCGTCCTCGATCTCTTTTGCCATTCATCTTCCCTTCTATTATAATATACAGAAGTTCTTCTTCGTGTCTTAAGACATGACCAATCATATTCCATCTTCTTTCTTTTATGGTGCTAAGTATCTTCCTGGTTTCATTTATTTCGTTTAGAATGTTTTCGTTAGTTCTTCTTTCTACCCAGCTTACTCGCAACATTCTTCTCCAGCACCACATCTCGAAGCTTTCAAGGAACTTTTGTTCCGCTTTGTTTAATACCCATGTTTCGCATCCGTAAAGTGCGACACTCCACACATATACCTTTATCAGCCGTTTCTTCACACGTATACTCATGTTTTTAGAGCACAGTAGGTTCCTTTTGTTCATGAATGCTGTTTTTGCTTGAGCGATCCTTGCTTTTATATCCATAGTACATTTTCCATCTTGGCTAATTATGCTACCTAGATATCTAAAGTTTTCCACTTGATCGAGAATGTGGTTATCAATTTTAATTCTTAATCTATGAATACGATTCTTTTTTTGACACATCATTATCTTGGTTTTATTCCAATTGATTTTAAGGTGATAATTTTGGAAGCCCTTTGCTATTTCTTCTAACGCTCTTTTGAGATCGATTTCGCTGTTTGCAACAAGAGCTATGTCATCGGCGAATCTTAAAAATGATATCAATTCTCCTCCTACTGTCACTCCAATTTGATCTCTAGTGAATGTTTCTTTAATTTCATTGATAGATTGTTCTACATAAATATTAAATAATTTTGGTGACAGTGGACACCCTTGTTTTACTCCCTTTCCTATTTTGGCTGTTGCAGACTTGTCTGACACTTTTATTATAGCTAATTGCTCTTTGTATATGTTGTATATTAGCTGTCTGTCTCTATAATCAATGTCTATTTATTTTAATGTCTTAAAAAGTTCCTTCCAGGGAACTGTGTCAAATGCCTTCTCCAAATCGATAAATGCGATAAATGTGTCGTTGTTAAATTCGATCTGTTTTTCAATTAATGTCCTTAGGCTTAAGATCGCTTCTCTAGTACCCTTGTTTCTTCTAAATCCGAATTGATCATTGCTTAAATGCCTTTCAATTTTATGTTCTATCCGGTTACCTATTATTTTTACTAGGATTTTAGCAGAGTGTATCATCAGACTCAGGGTTCTATATTCACTGCATTTTTCAGCTGTTGCTTTCTTGGGGAGAGTAATTATTATGTTTTTTTTAAAATCTTCCGGTATTTCTCCAGTTATATAGATGTCATTAACCAATTTAAATAATTCGTTCTGGATTTTTTTACCTGCATTTTGGATCAATTCTGTTGATATATTGTCTACACCTGGAGATTTCCTAGTTTTCATCATTTTAAGGACTTGGTTGAATTCTTCCCTTAGGATTGGTGCACCCTCATTATCTGGGTTACTTCCATTATGTAGGCTAGTTATCTCTTCACCCTGATACAGAACTTCGAGATATTGTTTCCATCTATTAGCAATGTCTTCGTTGTCTATTAGTAGATTTCCGTTTTCTTCTCTTATTTTATTGTTGACTTTAGTTTTATTACTGACAAATTTTTTTATTGTATTAAACGCTTGGTCCATTTTGTTTTCTTTTATTAATAGTTCTACTTCATGACATCTGTCTTCTAGCCATTTCTCCCTTGCTTCTTTTGCATTTCTGTTTATTTTGTTTTTAAGTTCTTTATATTTTCTTATTCCCTGGTTGTCTTTGGAGTTTTTGTACTTTCTTCTTTCCTCAATATCTCTTAGAATTTGTTCATTTATCCATGGTTTTTTGGGATCTAACGTATTTCTTATAATAGTTTTATTGGCTGCATTATGTATAGTTTCTTTGATTGCTTCCCATCTTATATTTATTGAATCATTTTGTGAGGGTGCTTTGAATGTTTTACTGATGCACGATTCATAGGCTAACGCTGTATTCCGATCTTTCAGCATATTTACGTCATATCTTCTTTCCTTTTGTGTAGGTTTATTCAGTTTTTTATATGTAACATTGCTTTTCATCATTAAGAGATTATGGTCGCTGTCCACATCGGCGCCTGGGTAAGTTTTACATCTCTTAACTTGGTTTCTGAAGCGTTTTCATACCAATATATAGTCGATTTGGTATCGTCCAATGTCCCCTGGCATTTTCCACGTATACCTTTTTCTCCGATGAATGTTTTGGTATGTGTTTGTTATGACTAAGTCATATTGCTTGCAGTAATCTATAAGTCGGTCTCCTCTTTCGTTCCTTGTACCCAATCCATAGGCTCCTACTACTTGCCCATCAGCACCTTCACCTACAACAGCGTTCCAATCCTCTATTATTATTAAGTTGTCACTTCCTTTCGTTAATTTACAGAGTTCCTCGAGTCCTGCGTACATTTCTTCTATCTCGTTGTCCTCTGCTTCAGTTGTTGGGAAGTATACTTGAATTATTACGATATCGCTGGGTTCAGCTTTGACTTTCACCATTATAAGTCTGTCATTGTACGCTATCTTATTTATCACTTGTTGTCCCCATTTCTTGTTTATTATTACTCCAACTCCGGCTCTTCCTGTTCTTTCACCTCCAGAGTAAATAACACGGTAATCATCGGACCAGAAATCTCCGTTTCCCGCCCATCGTGTTTCACTTACACCCAATATATCTATGTTTAACCTTGTCATTTCAACTTTAATATTTTCCAGCTTTCCAGTATTTAACATAGTTCTCACATTCC